TGTGTGTGTGTGTGTGTAACATTAATATATGCGGTACAGTTGCCAAACCTTAATTCACATTAATATCTACTACTGGAATTTTGTTTCGTATTAGTCCTCCTTTGATACTGTGTTTTGCCTCTTCAACAAGGAAAAGGTGAACAATAACTTTTACCATTGTTTTCGCTCCATACTTCTCTTAATACAAAACGGATATGAAGCCGCTGTTTTAACATGATGTAAGAATGTTTAGAAGCATAATAACAGTGGCATTCCAGTATTTGAGTCAGCCATGGCAATACCCCAGATTTGGCCAAATTTTCTTTCCTATGTATAAAGTTATGGCAGTTGCTTCACCCTTCTTTATCGGCTGGGGTCACTATCGTTTCTCGAGATGAAAAAAGAAAGAACAGTGTGTGACTTCGAAATTTGGGATTATCTTGATCCTCACTCAGAAATGGGACCCAGTATATGGTAAGAACATAGTTTTGTAAAGTTCAGTCAATATCTCCAACTTGTGCTTGAATTATTAGCTGCATAAGGCTATATAAATATATATACAAACACACATATATATATATATATATACATATATATACACCTCCTTTATTTTAATTTTAAAAAGTTAAACCAAGTCATTTTCCAAATTTGGTGACATTAATTTTCTAGTATGCAATGAGATACACAGATGAACACAGAGTGGTCAATGCCATGTGTGATATTTGACTGCAAACAACCTGTTATATATTCAAGTGTCATGTTTTATCTATGGGCCGGATTCTTTACAGTAGGTGTTTGTGACATGTTGGTGATAAATTTCAACAATAAACAAACAGTACACAGTCCACTTATTTTGAGACAATATATTAAAACAAGTCAAATGTACATACAAATGCAGTTACACTGTTGGTTATCACTGTTGTATCCAGAGCTTTAAATTAGTGTTTCTCTTTTGACAAAGTCCACACGGGCTGGTTCAATTACTTTAGAACACAATTTACAAGGCGAATTATTTTTCCTGATATGTTATTACTATACAATCTGTGATAATTTCACTTTAAAAACTGTCACTATATGCTGCCTATGGCTAAACTCGCAATCACTCAGTCTGGATCTATCTATATCGAACTACGCGTCGAAAATTATACCCTGACAGAGGTCTAGAATGTTCTACACCTACTAGATATTGTGATGCAATAATATTCAATTAAAACAACGAGAAAAACTTAGAAGGTTCTAGTAACATGAAACAATAATATAATAATCACCAATTCACAACTTATTGAAATACCCAACGTATGATTCTGAAACAGTTACGTAAACAAACTTCCAATAAACTATCGCTTCTATAAATAACTAAATTTAACACTCGCGCTATATAAACTATCTAAAACATTAACACTCGCATTAACTTAAACTGAAACAGTTGTGCATATCTAACATCAAGTAATTTGAAAGGCGTTCATATGCAAAACCTAGATTACGCAACACCATCTTCTATCTTTTGTATTAAAAAAAGACTAACTTAACAATGATAACCGCGAATTCATTTACTAACTTTCGTCATAAACCTGTTGGTTAATGCCCTAGATTTCCCATTGGAGGGTCACGGGTTCGAATCCCGTTCCTGAACGTGCTTGTGTTTTTAGTTGTGAGTTGTTATAATGTTATAATG